TTTATGTGTTCAATACTTTTTCCCTGTGCCATTCCACATTATTACAAATAACTTCATTTCTGGACATTTATGCTTTGATTTCTTTGTAAATCCAGACTAGAAGTTGTTGTAAATGCCACAGTTAAAGTATGTTTTAAATCCTTTAAAGCAGTTAGTTTGACAGCAGTCAATGGATGATGGTCCTCCTCAGACCCATCTTCTTCTTCAGTCACACCAGGTTTAATCTCAGTCCTAGCAGAGGAGGAGTTATTGTTTGGAAACACAGCAGTCAGGTTTGGACATGCACATGTTTTATATCTTTGTTTTTATTATCTCAGAGCAGAAAGAAAGCAGCTTGTTGGGACCTGTTGAAGTGACAGGTGACAGTGACGTACCTCGTGTTTCCAGCAGAGCCCTGATGCTCTGTGATCCAGCTTTAACAGCAGACACATCCAGCCTCCCTGAGTCCAGATCCTCCAGCAGAGAGCGGGCCGTGTCAAAGCTGTTATTCATGGTCGTGGCGATCACACCTGTAGGGCCTGTTTTCAGCCAGCCACTGCAGTACAGACCTACAGGGGAGGATGACTCATCAGATTCTTTCATTAAAGGTTAGTAAATACAGTAAATGTTTATTTTAGAACTGTTACAAACCTGGGACTTGAGGAACGCGTCCGTTGCTGTTTGGCACGATGGCTTTGTGGGAATCAAACGGCACTGTGGGGTCGATGGGGAGGCTTCTGTAGCCAATACTGCTGATGACCAGACCACAGGAAAGGTCCTCCAGTTCTCCAGTCAGCACAGCCTGGGCTCCTTCTCCTGAACCCTGCTCAGACAGCCAGTTGTGTTACAAACACCCAACACACAGTAACACAAGCAGTTGTTGAGTTCTGACATGRACACAATCATCCTCACCTCCAACCTGGTGACTGCCAGTCGGATGCCAGCCGTTCTGCTGCAGCCAGGCTCAGCCAGGATCTCCACAGGGCTCCTGAAGAACCTAAAACCCCAGGAGCGGGAGGCCTTCTCCCTTCTCTGCTGCTCCTCCTCTCCTGGGGRCTCCAGGGCGGTCTTCAGCATCAACTCTGTCAGACGCTTCCTGGGCCGGGGCAGGTCTGACAGAGCAGACACACTTCACATTTACACCCGTCAGCTTTTATCATGTCTAATTTCAAACATRACACTGCACATTTCAATGCTACAAGTCACACAGTGGATTAAACACAGTTTGAAAAAACTGACAGGTTGAAGGTTTTATATGAAAAACAACTTCTCAACAAGAAACTGAAGTGACCCAGAGCAGCTGTTCTCCCATGTTTGTCATGGTCTGTCTTCTTCTGAATGGATGTTCTGAACTGTAATTTCATTGTGCTCTGTACGATGACAATAGATGTCTAATCTAATCTAATCTAATCTAATCTAATCTAAAAAATACCCTTTTTACTAATCTATTGTATTTCTCCCAAAAGGTCCCATGTTTTCAAGCTGTGGTACAAGTACTACTGGTAGTACTCAAGGTACTTCTGGTGCTCAGGGAAAATACTAGTATACATGTTTTAGAAGTTAAATAAATTAATAAACTGTCATTCGGTGAACTGTATCACCATATTTACATCTACTGTTGATCATGTAGGGCTCTCTGCAGTACGTAATGGGTGTTCCATGTTCTGTAGGCGGAGTTTGTCCTAACTGTGATTGGTGGATATTTTGCTGTGGGTGGAGTTTGGAAAACCAAGTTTGGTCAGATCGACTTGTCTTGTTGAGCATGAATTATTGTCCATTTCATGTTTAAAACAAAACCATGTCTCAAATAAAAGTTATTGTGAACATGTAAACATAATTTATTGACTTGATTGATTTTTGCGTGGCAACCATCTCTTCCTGTCTGAATTTATGAATAATAAATGTTTTATATAATAATAATAAGTGTTTTTATACTTCCAGTCGTTGCTGATTCAGCACCAACAGCCTGAGCTACAACATGGCTTCTTTTTATCACACTGACAAGGCTGGGATCTGTGARGGTCTGGATACAGCAGATAAGAAACTAGCAGCCATATTAATGTTTAACAATGTGTTATTTTATGTAAGATAAGARACGTTACTGGTCACTGTACATGCACAATGAGTCAACGTTGTGTGTGTCTGGATCTGTGTGTACACGTGAATCACAGCTCTGCTGAGTGCTTGAYCCTCTTCATGTGTAAAACACACTGAGTGAACAACTTTTACACAATCTGTAGAAAGTTGTATGTGTTGTATTGTTTTTAAAACAGGCCTGTAGCTGCTGAAACAAACCTGACCTCAGCACATGTCAGATCAAACCTGACAGCTTTAAAAAAACAACCTCCCACCTAAAATAATCAGGTTTCTGAGAATTATCTGTGAGCAGAGGTCAAGGAGGCGGTTATTCTTTGAACATGTTTGGTAACGTCAACACAATGTCACTTCACAAGGCTGAAAACTGAGCCCAAGGCTGCACACCGCTTCACTTTCACATCTGCACTGAGTTAAAAAAACCTTTTTCACGTCTGCATGTCAGCTGGTTTTATTTTTTACTGGTGAGCTGTTTCCACTGCCCTCCCAGTACATGGGGTTAGAAGTGTGTGCAGTGTGCTTCACATGTAACCACATGTTTCCATGTGCAGCTTCAAACACTTGTGCTGTCGTCACACACTTCACTCTCATGAACTTCTCAGTCTCAACATTTCTCACTCTGTGTTGAGTTAGGGAACAGTAAAGTACCAATGAAAAACATTGAGTTATTACCCTCAGAGCTGACAGATACATGAATTAATTTATTTTTCTTCAACAATAAAACAACTTTAGTCACAACAGGACAATAAAACAACTTGACAGATTATTATTTGTTTGTTTTCTGACCTTTGAGAGCTTCTGAGACACATTTAAAATCAGCCTCCACCATTTCAGGTCTGCTGCCAGGCAGGTTCACCATTTCTCTGAGCTCCTGTGGGCAYAAAATTAATAAAAATATATATATATATTTTAAAGCTCCATTAACTGTTGCATCCTGACAGACTTTAAGGTAATGGTGTGTTTTGTTTTGGGTGAATGCAGAGCATTGAATAACTGATGATGTTTACAGAAGAGCCTAAAACTGAGTTTTTAAGACTAAATCCAACAGAAAAACAGCTAAAAGCTAAACGCTAGTTACAAGTTACAGGAAAAAGCCAGCAAAAAGTATCAAAAGGCTAACTTGGAGCTGAAAGTTTAAAATAACAAACGACCAACAAAGTAGCACAAAAACAAGCCTAAAATATTGAAAGTCTTGCAAAAAGTATTTAAAATTTTAGCTGTAACAAAACAGTAGCTAAAAAGCATTTTCTGAAACAATRAATGTWTTTCTATGGGGAAAATAGTTGTAAACAAAAAGGTAAATGTTTTGAATTATAAAACAAAAAAAACAAAAAGCCATAGCACCAATCTGCTGAATAAGCTGAAGGCTTTTATATGAAGCTTCTTACAAACCATGCAGACTGAGTACAGCTGAAATAAATACTACAGGAAGGAAACAGTAAAACATAAATTCAAATTATTATCCGCCAAAACAACAAATATCCAAATAATATGACTAAATGATAACATAAACAGGTATAATGAAAGGTTATAATAAATATTCAAGAGATGAAAAAAACAGTAAAAGAGATAAAATGATTAACACAATCAACAACCTTATAACAATCTGAATCAACGACACCTGACCAAAACACAGTTCAATTATTACGTGCACATACAAACAAGGAAAAGAAGATTGAGGGAGACCAATCAAACATGAGCTGTTTGACCAAAGCTCACAGCAGAAACCAGCTGAAACAGCTCAGACCAGCCGTCAGCACGGTGGTGGTGGTGTGATGAGTCGGGCTCGTTTCACAGCCACAACAACTGGATACCTAAAGCTTTATTACTGAACAAGGTTAACCTTTTAGTATGACTGCATGTATGATCCTAATTATATTAACCTTTKAGTTCTTAATGTGGGGTTCATAACACGAGATGTTTGTTTGTTTGTTTGTTTTTACAAATAAGGTTCTGTTGGTTTTCAGACAAACCTTAATTGTACAAGCAACCTGCATGGGACCCCTCCTCCCAACAATCAGCACTCTGCGGATCTGACTGTGTGCCAGGGCGTCCAGAGCCGGCTGAGTGATGTCTGTGCTCTGCACACACAAAAACAACAACATTTTAATAAAGCTTATATTAGAAACATCATTTGAAGAATAAAACAACTCAGGCACTCTGCACAATACTTTGAAATTTACTGGGTAATATTTGGTCCAGCACGCACACATACTGTACAACAGTAACAGTTTACACAACTTTCCTCTGATGAATMTCAAACCAGTTCTTCATGATTCAATAGAAACGATGCATCATTAACATTATATATTTAAGAACCATATGTTTTCATTAAAATGAGAAGTTCCTGGAGTTGGCTGGACTCCAGCAGGGCTGCTTCAGACAGACAACTCTGATCCCATTTGTGGCGTTTGTGGACAGTTGAGGAGAACAGGTTGGTTTAGAAATGGAAGAGTTTCAATTTGGTTTTTATGAATGATGTAGTTCTACTGGGGTCTTCAGACCAGGACCTTCAGTGTGCACTGGGGGTGTCAGAGTCAGCCATGAGTCCACTGGGCTGGAGATGGATGCCTCAGTCAGAGTTCAGAGATCTGGGATAGATGAGGGCATTTCTCTGGTCTGTGGTGGTGAAGAAGGGGCTGAGAGAAAACCACAAAGCTCTCCAATAACGCTTTCTTTTACAGTACCCTTATTACCATGTAATTACAAGGTAATAAAAAATGTAATTAAAGTAATTACTACCTTATTACCATGTAATTACAAGGTAATAAAACGTGATTACATGTAATTACTACCTTATTACCATGTAATTACAAGGTAATAAAATGTGATTACATGTAATTACTACCTTATTACCATGTAATTACAAGGTAAT